ATAACTACCACAGAGGGGTTCAGATGGGCTGCTGGGGGCTGGTGAATTACGCCGCCACCGCCGCCATCTGTTCAGGTACGTATCCTGAAACTAGATGTTCAACCGTCTGATCTGTTCAAGTGTAATTCTTCATGTGTATGTCTCTGTGAATGTAGCTTTACTGCAGAAGTATCTGGATAACTTTGACCTCAGCATAAAGGTCATCTACATCCTGGGCACTCTGGGCTTCACCGTCGGTACGGCCGTCATGGCGATCTTCCCCAACGTCTACGTCTCCATGGTGATGATCAGCAGCATGGGCATCATCTCCATGAGCATCTCGTACTGTCCGTACGCTCTGCTGGGCCAGTATCATGATAATAAAGAGGTCAGAGGCAGCTCCGCGCTTACATTCATCTGTGTGAGACTGTAATCCGGCCGTATTACAGCTAATCCCAGCGCTAGACCTAATCTTTGTCCTGACCGTCTCTCAGAACTCAGGGTTGAGGGTGACATTTGAACATTTAAAGTAACAGGCATTATGTTTCATCAAATTACTTTCTGGGCGTAACAAACTCTGTAAGTAGCTGACTTCAAAAAAAACAAAAAAAAAAACCTTTACTAGTAATCAGAAATAGTATAGCATGGAAAAAAACTTGCGCACAAACTGAATAGGTAATGCTACAAATTCTTATAAAATAAAAATAAATACATATTTAAATATATATTTAGAATATTTAATCTTAAATGTATTAAAAAATATTTAAGTATTTAATCTGCTAGAAATTGCTAGAAGTGCAATCTCTACAAATAAAAATAAGTTTGTGTCCTGTGCACGAGCAAACTGAATAGTTAGTTTTTATTAAAAAAAATTTTTTAAATATGTAAATATATATTTTAAATATTTATTTTACAATATTTAATCAGCTAGAACCTCTATACATAAAAAGTCTCCTGTGCATGAGAAAATTTAATAGATAGTTCAGCGAATTCTGATTCATTTTATTTGATTGTTTATTAAATCTTTTTCAATTAAATACTTTAAATATATATTTTAAAATATTTAATCAGCAAGAAATTTTTATTTCAATCTCTTTACATAAGTCTGTGTAATCCTGTAATTAATTAGTACAACAAATGTAATTAAAAGCAGTACAACAAATACTACCATGATGTATACCTTTAATTGTACTTTAAAGATTGTATAAAATATATTAGTAGTTACAGTAGATATATTTTTAATATCTATAGATTAAAAAAAATTGTTGCTTTTCAAAAAAAAGTTTTGCTTTTTATTTTGTTTTTGCTTTATATATAAAAAAAATAATAATAAAATAATAATAATTGTTTAATTGTCATGAAAATCGTGTCTTTCTGTCTAATTTTAGCGAACTGGTTTCATAGTGTAATACATTTTTCATGCTGCTTGTCTCGAAATAAACAGCCTTCTTAGAGCAACTCATGCAACGTGTGGTAAATTTTGGCAGATAAATATTTCAAAAACAATGAAAATGTTGGTTTTTCCTCATGAGTTGTTATTTGTATGTAGTAAACAGTTGCCACTAGTACTCATTTTATTTGTAATACTCCCTGATAGGTCTTAACCAGATTTCTGGTAGGATAGAGAGGGATACTGACATGTGATTGGTGTGTTTTTTGCTGTCTGCAGTACGTCCAGCACAGCCCCGGCAACTCCAAGCGAGGTTTCGGCATCGACTGCGCCATCCTGTCGTGTCAGGTGTACATCTCTCAGATCCTGGTGGCGTCGGCGCTGGGCGCGGTGGTGGATGCGGTGGGCAGCGTGCGGGTCATTCCCATGGTGGCCTCCGGCGGCTCCTTCCTGGGCTTCCTGGCCGCCTGCTTCCTCGTCATCTACCCGGGGTCCAGCGGAGAGGCCGACGGGGCGAAGGTCGAGCAGACGAGGGCGCTGACGTCCCCGAATAACAACAGCATGACCGAGAAGCCCAGCTTCCTCAAGCTCACGCGCAAAGGCGCCACCACAACCACCTGCAAAGTGGAGTGCGAATCCACTCTGTGAATGCGATCAGACTAACATTCCCGACGCGTTTCTACACGCATTAAACCGACCGGGTGGATGGAAGGCATGGTTTTCTTTTTTTTTTTCTCGTTGATTTGTCCGTGTTTGGCCTGGTGTTGTGGGTCTCAGGGCTGCATCTCAGGGTCACCAGGGGGCAACTCTGGGCTGAACTCTTCAGGGGAGAGCTCTCTCGCTCTCAACCACATGCACTTCCCTTGCACACTTCCATTCGAAGCTCATCCTAAACAA